TAAAATGTTACTAAGAAACCAATCTATGTCCCAGCTTGCTAGGCTATTCCAAATTTCTGCAGACACTATCACCATCTCTGGGACTGCCAGCTTGCATGGAAACACATGTTATGGCTGAATATCCCACCATTCTGAAGTCTTTTTCAAGAATACTAGGACTTGGGAGACATATATATGAAAATATTTAATCACCAGATTCTAAGTTTAACTAGCACATATCAAACACATCCTGGACTCCCAGTTGAAAAATACTTGCTTTAATTCCCAGTATTTCTCTTTACCTTTTAGAAATGTGACATGGTTACTTCTAAATCTTTGCAGGATGAATCGGCCAGTTGGTGTTATCAGTGTCATTCGCTGTCTCTTCCTTTTTTCCTTCCCATCATTTGGACATTTCACTATTTGTTTACCCTGACCAAACCCATCCATTCACTTCTTGTCTTATTCAAAGTTCTGGGAAACATCGTGGAAGGAAAAAAGGTAGAAACTAAAGCTATTGGTGCAAATGATGCTTTGGATTGCCTGTGGATTTTGAACATCCCTTCCATTCCTGACCCCTCAACAAACATGGATGATTTGGTATTTCACTATATGAGTAGCCACGAATGACTGATAGAAACACCCCTGATTTTTCATGATACAGTTCCAGGAGCAGCTCGCTACAGTTCCTGTCTCTGCTGGTGTGCCATCCCTAAGCCCCAAGGGAGTACAGCCTTCTCCTCAGCTACCGTCCCTTTCTGTGGGGTTGGGGCGTGAGGCAGGGTGACGCAACTGCGCACGCACAATGGCAGAGAGAGAGCAAGAGCTAAAAAGATTCTGGTTTGGGCCCACATCACTAGTTGCTTCACTTCGTGAATAAAAGCAAGTGCCTCATAAGCTTACGTTATTTACAATGCTCGGATTGTTCAAACATCCACCCAAAGCCGAGGACCACCACACAACAAGGAACAATTCAATGAACTATGTACAGAATTTACAAGGAAGTTTACATAATATTCTACATTCCGTTAACAAGTTTACCTTTGTTTGCTTTCCTGAAACTGAGATATTTGTTCGTTTTTCTGTCTTTTTCATCCCAGTAATTGCTGATTGAACCAACACGAACAAACGCTTGCACATTCCTTTTTCCTCCCTCCTGGGATATAGGATTACATTTAGTTTAGGAAAAAAAAAAAAAAA